TTAAAGAAATTATATCCCTGTTGAAGCTCAACTGAAGTTTTAAAATTTATTTAGTGTCACAGTATCAATAATATGGTGCTTTCCTTCAAAAGAAATAAAATATTTTTTCTGATTATATACTAATTCGTTATTAGTGAATTGGGAGAAAATGTGTAAACAAGAAAATAAAAATCATCTCTGATTTTTCAGATTTTCTTTGATACATGTATTTATCTATATACAAACATGTATGTATATTATCTCTATTACACTATTGTATTCCCTTATTTAATATTGAAGTGTTTCCTAATTATTATAAACATTTTAATAGTGCCCTTCTAATATATTTTATTGCTATAGTATGAGGCTTTTGTTTACTTTCACCCTCACTTTTAAAAAACATTCTTTCCCTTTATTTGTTAGTTTTCAAAGCAATCCATTGGTACTTTAGCATCCCCCAAAAGTGAATAATGACATTAAAAAAAATTTTTTTTTTTTTTTTTTGAGACAGAACCTCACTTTGTCACCCTTGGTGGAGTGCCACGGGGTCATAGCTCATAGCAACCTCAAACTCTTGGATTCAGGTGATCCTCTTACCTCAGCCTCCCAAGTAGCTGGGACTCTGGGCTCCTACCACAATGCCCAGCTAAAAAAAATTTTTTAACTCCTTGCCTCTGTCTTCCCCCTTGCCCCAACCACTGCCTTCCTCCCTGCCTCTGTCCCCACCTTTGTCCATTCCCACTTCTGTTCCCCATCCTAACCTTATTTATTAATTCTTTCAGATATCCATCATTTAGCTCGCCAGTATCCTTCTGATTACCAAATAGTGCAGCTATTCTTTAGTGCCCTTATGTGCCCTTTTTGCCTCATCTTCTATGTCATTCAGTTCTTTCTTTTAAAAATAGCTCCTTGTTCAGTTTCAAAAAAAAATTATTGTAGGAAACTTAGACACATAAAATGTTATTAATAATTAAATGTATTTAGATTCTTCCTCTTCTTGACAATCTCTCATCCCTTCATTTCTGTGAAGCCATTTTTTTTTTTTTTTTTGGTTTTCAGAAAAAATTTTCTTCTTTCTATTATTCTAAGAAACTTTCTTCCTCCACTTCTTGCAGAGTGACACTCTTCAGTATTCTGGTCTTCGTTTTGTATTCTTCTAATTCTACACATTCTTAGATGCTTTCAAAATAGCCTTTGAAAAAAAGTTCAAACATACATACATACACGCAGTAAAATATGCACGTGGTAAATTTTGAAGCCTACAAAAATTGATATTTTCACCAAAAGTAATTCTCTTCCTTTTTCTCTCCCCCAGAGTTAATCACTAATATACCCTTCTAGAGAGATTATGTGCATATGCCAATATATAAGAATTTATATATTTACTTATTCTTTTTTTTTTTTTTTAGAGACAGAGTCTCACTTTGTCGCCCTCGTTAGAGTGCTGTGGCATCACAGCTCATGGCAACCTCAAGCTCTTGGGCTTAGGTGATTCTCTTGCCTCAGCCTCCGAGTAGCTGGGACCACAGGTGCCTGCCACAATGCCTGGCTATTTTTTTTTCTTTCTTTTTTTTTTTTTTTGTAGTTTGACCAGGGCCAGGTTTGAACCCGCCACCCTCAGTATATGGGGCCAGCACCCTACTCACTGAGCCACAGGCACCGCACTACTTATTCTTTTAATGTTATTTTTATACCGGTAGTACTATACTTAATACTGATTTCCTTCTTTTAAGTCTAGTAATATGTAGGAGACTATTTTGCATCAGTACATAGAACTGTATTCCATTCTTTTTAGTGGTTGCATGGCATTTTTTACTTTGTATTTTCCTTTTCCCCATAACATCTTATTTTGAAAGGATTGAAATTTATGGAAAAGTTTAAAGAACAATAGAATTAACATCCATTTATATGCCTGCCTTTTTCTTTCTCCTTTTCTCTCTCTCTCTCTTTTTGCTGAATCATTTGAAAGTAAAATTGTTGGTATCATTACAGCTTATTCCAAAATTATTCAATATTTATGTCTTACGGACTAAGACGTTCTCTTACATAATCACAATACTTTTATTACATCAAAGAAATTTGAAATTTGTACAGTATTAGCTTAGGTAAAATCTGTATTCGCATTTTCACAGTTGTTCTAAAACGTCCTTTATAGTGTTTTGTTTCTTTCTCCAGTGTGGGAGCCAGCCAAGAATTAAGAGTTACACTTGGTTATCATAGGGCTTTCATTTAACTACTGGTTAAATAGATGACTACCAGACTAGATCTCTAGGTCAAACTCTTTCCTGAAGTCTACATAAATATCTACTAAATGTAATTATTTGAATGTCCCACTAGCAACTCCAAAATAACCTGTCTACAATGAACTCAATACTTTCTGCTCTCAAATTACTTTTTCTCCTGTATTCTCAGCTTAGTGCATGGTGTCATTCAGATGTTGCCTAAACAAGAAATAAACCTTGGGAGTCACCTTAGCTTCCTCCCTCCTTGAGACTGCACATGTTACTCCATTTGTCCACAGTTTTCTTCCTACCTTGTCTACTTTGCCTGTTCACCCTTCAAGACCCAAGTTAAGCTTACTTCCTATGGGAAACCTTCCATGACCCTTTTTTTTCCCAGACAGAATGAGATATGTCTCCAGTGGGCCCCTTTTAGTATCCTGAACCCACATCTTATTTTAGGTAGGAATTACTAATTTATATATCTGCCTTTTTAATTAGAGAGCGAGCTCCTTAAGTTGGTATGGACTTAATTCTTTTCTGTCTTTGTGTAGTAACACAGTACCTGGTTTGTAAATGTTTAATGAGTATCTATGGAATGGAAGAATATGTTTATTAGACCTGTCTTTACCAAGCAGAAACTCACCTTTATCAAAGCTCAACTCAGCATGCATTTGTTGAATTCCTACTATGTGCACAGTTTCATGCAAATAGTAAGATTATTTTCTGTCTTCAATAAAGATTAGGATCTAGTTGAGAGGATAAGGCCAACATACCAGAGGTTTAAATAATACCAAGAGGTAATCTAATTACCAGATGAATGATGCAGACAGTTACCCCAGGGAAAGAAGAGTTGGTGAATATTTCTCAGTGCTTATTGTATACTAGTTACTTTTCTTTGTATTTGTAAATGTTATTTAATCTCTACAACTTCAATTTTTCAAATGATAACATTAAAGATCATAAGTAAAGATTTGACTGTCTGACTTTAAAAACATTATCTTAAGAGTTCCAAGGGGAATTAAAATGATTACAAAATGATACTTAAGTTTAAAGAAGAAAATAATATAGTATCCAATTATAGGACAAAAGCTATATATCCCCACAATGAAAGGTTATACAATCATTACAAATTCTGTGACTGAGGAATAGTGTTTATGATATAATGTGAATTACTAAACAGCAGTATATAAAAGTGTTCCATTTTTTATTTATTTAATTTTTATTCTTTTTTTTTTTGTAGATAGGTTCTTACTGTCATCCTGGGTAGAGTGGATGGTGTCATAGCTCACAACAACCTCAAACTTTTGAGCTCAAGTGATCCTCTTGCCTCAACCTCCCTAGTAGCTTGGGACTACAGGTGCCTACCAAAATACCCAGCTAGTTTTTCTATTTTTAGTAGAGATGGGGTCTCACTCATGCTCAGGCTGGTCTCAAACCTACTGGCCCACCCTGCCCAGCCAGCATTCTGTTTTTTAAAAATATGCATACATACATAGAAAAAAACAGGAAGAAAATAAAGGGTTAAGCAGTTCTCCCAGGGCTGTGGCATGTATGGACTATATGAATTTCTTCCTTGTATAATCTGTGTTTTCCAGGTCCTGGACAATGAACATGAATGTTTATAGTTAGAAAAAAAGGTAGAAAAAGGTCACTCAAAAAATAAAAGACTAAAGAAAAAATAAGCTGAACTTATTTAAAGCCTTACAGTTATTAAAATGGAAAGGTTTTGTGTTGACCTTCCCTGCCTCTGGGGTACCACTGGCCTAAGCATCCCAGATAGATTAATGGTTCCTATTTTAAGATCTCACTAAAATAAGCCACTCTCCTCTGCCTTACAGTCATTTCTGTTCCCCAGTAATCAGTACAAAAGAATTTTCTCTTTCTACTATCTTATGGAGATACATTCATGAGAGCTACTCCTATATCTTGTGGGAATTTTCATTGTGTAAAGGTGGTTTTTTCCCTAACATAAGGAAAGGACCAAATTTAATATTCCTGCCTAGAAGGGAAAAAAAGTAATCCTCCTGCCTGGACTTTATGTTCTACTTTGTAAAAATATTGAGAGAAGTTGTAAAACATGGATATTTTTAAAAAGGAACCAAAATGGAATAGGAAAGCATGGGTTGTCACATGTCTCCATTAGTTTTCTTTTGAAAGAAATACTCTATTCATGATCCATCTCTGTTTTTCCTCTGGGTGGCTGTTTTTCCAGCATAGCATGCACGACTGACTACTTCTGATTTGTCTTACTGAGATTTAGCACACTCTAGTGGACAGTAGCTTTTTGGTTTTCACAGTTTTTTGTTGGAAGTAGTGTACTTACTAGATAGTAAAATTGTCAATATTTATTTGAATCAAGTAGTGACCCTCGTAAGCAGGAGTAAATTTGTCAGCCTCTGGGGTAGGACGCATTTTTATATGGTTTCTTCAGTGAGAGGAAGAGAAGCTTTTCAGGTTATATGGAAAATTTTCTTTAGTGATTTTCGTCTTCTCCTGGCTATAATGAAATTGATGGGGGAGACCAAGACGTAGAGGAACATTTGTACGTCTACCTCACACGCTTTGGATCCCTTTTAGGTATCTTAAGAAATGTTATATAGGGTGGCCATAAAGTTCATGTGCAATTTAAATAGACAACTATTTTAAATTGCACACAAACTTTATGGCCACCCTGTACAACATTTTATGACAATTTTTACAGTTTGTGCATGGATTATTTTTGTATCCTATCATGATGGATTCTTTTTGGAAATGACTTCCACCAAAAAAAGAATAACCTTTCATTTTGGTTTTTTACAGAGTGATGGTGAAGATTTTAATTACATCATTGCATTTTTCCTCGGAACAGCAGCCTGCCTTTACCAGGTAGATTTTCTCCTATTTTTAAGAAATACTTTTCCATTATTTGTTGCAGGTATCAATTCTAATAACTACTTGTGCATTTTATTTTATTTTTTATATTTTTTTTATTAAATCATAGCTGTGTACATTGATATAGTCATGGGGTACAGTGTGCTGTTTTTATATACAATTTGAAATATTTTCATCAAACTGGTTAACATAGCCTTCATGTCGTTTTCTTAGTTATTGTGTTAAGACATTTATATTCTACATTTAGAAAGATTCACATGTACCTTTATAAGATGAACCATAAGCATGATCCCACCAATCATCCTCCCCCTACCCATCCTCTTCCCCTCCCCTCCTCCTCCCCCCCCAAGTGCCCATCAACCAACAGATGGATCAATAAATTGTGGGGTATATGTACACCATGGAATACTATGCAGCCATAAAGAAGGATGAGACTTTACCTCCTTCATGTTTACATGGATGGAGCTGAAAAATATTCTTCTTAGCAAAGTATCTCAAGAATGGGAAAAAAAGTACCCAATGTACACAGCCCTACTATGAAACTAATTTATAGCTTTCATAGGAAAACTATAACCCAATTATACTACTTGTACATTTTAAATGAATTTTTTTAGAAAGTCTGAGTTCTGGCTGGGCGCCTGTGGCTCAAGCGGCTAAGGCGCCAGCCACATACCCCTGAGCTGGCAGGTTCGAATTCAGCCCAGGCCGCCAAACAATGACAGCTGCAACCAAAAAATATCCAGGCATTGTGGCCGGCACCGGTGGTCCCAGCTACTTGGGAGGCAGAGGCAGGAGAATTGCTTGAGCCAGGAGGTGGAGGTTGCTGTGAGCTGTGATGCCGTAGCACTCTACCCAGGGCAACAGCTTGAGGCTTTGTCTCAGAAAAAAAAAAAAAAAAAAAGTTTGCGTTCTTTGCTTCTCTTTTAATTTGGATCTCTGTTGATGTTGTGACCTATATTTCCATTTTGATGGAACTTAGGTTAATCTTTCTGTGCCAGGGCTTCAATGGTGGTATATCATTTGCCTATGGCAGTAAAGGCTACTTCTTAGACTTTCTGGTGACTGATTATTCACCTTCCAGGTTCTATTTATTCAATGAATAAGCAGAATAAGGAAGGATCTTGTACTTTTGGGAAAGTCTTTGAATAGAGAATGGCACACAAAAAGCAGGATTTTAGGTTATTTAATTTAGCATTAATGAATAGGATGGATTTGAAGAGTGGAGAGACTGGAAGCAAGGGAGTTTGTTGGAAGGTGGTTCTGTTATTACAGTCAGAGAGTAATGAAAGCCTTAACTTTGATGATGATAATAGGGAAAGGAAAAAAATGGACATTGAAAAGGAAGACTCACTGGGACTTGAAAACAATAGATGGAAGACTTAAGAGATTTTGTACCTGGGTGATATGGTAACTGGTACTTATTTCCAAGACTAGAGGAGGTACAGATTTATAGGGAAGGGAGGAGTAGCCATGCCAGTTATCAAAACTCTAGAATGTCCTTGTTAAAACATTGAGCAAGGCCTTTTGACCTCACTTTAATAAGTGATACATTTCTCTGGCTTGTATAGAAAAAACATTAAGAAGATTCAGAATTACAAATACAAGTCTGCCTAAAATTCAGTAGAAGTCTTTAGGGAAATATTCTGAATATATGCATTTGACTTTTATGTAAAGACATTAGAAATTTTAGTTTTAGTGGCTCCATTTTTAAAAATTGCTTTATTTTTGTTAATTTATATTCAGAAATGTCAAATTTGACAGATTTCTTTATAATAAGTAGCATTTTCATGCAGAAAATGTGAAAACTTGTATTTGTTAATATTACATACTGCTTTAATTTTATGAAATATTCTTACATAAATTTTCTATCTTAATTTTCACAATCCTGTCACACAAGGAATATTATAAAATGTTTGAAAATGAGAAAGCTGAGGCAGTTTCAGCACCATCCTGAAATCACATAACAAAGTGGTAGAGTCAGGACTTAACTCTGAGTCTTTTTTTCTTTTTTCTAAGACAGAGTTCACTCTGTCACCTCGGCTAGAATGCTGTGGCATCAGCCTTGCTTACAACAAACTCAAGTGATCCTCCTGCCTCCGCTTCCCTGAGTAGCTGGGTCTATAGGCACCCAACACAATGCCTGGCTGGTTTTCTATTTTTTTTTTTTTTTTTTAAGTAGAGATGGGGGTCTCAGCTTTTGCTCAGCCTGGTCTCGAACTCCTGAGCTCAAAGGATCCTCCCACCTTAGCCTCCCAGAGTGGTAGGATTATAGACATGAGGCACTACACCTGGCCTAACTCTGAGTTGTCTGACTTTTAAATATTGTGTTCTTTGTACTATGTAATGCTGTCTCTGGGTAAAGTTCCTAGCTTGTATAATTTTTATAATAAAAATTATAATTTTAACTTTTATATATGATCTTGTTTGATCCTAAATCAATGTGAGGTAAATATTAACTTTAAAATAATTTTGTGAGTAACTATTCTCGTAAAATATAAGTTTTGTTTGCTTTGCTTTGCTTTAGTAATTTTAAATGCTTCGTACTAATGGCAGAAGGTACATGAGCGGTTACTCTCTGATGAACCCTTTATATTCATTGTACCAGTGAATCTGCCCCAAAAGCCCCACACTAATTCTGTTACCATTACTGTTTCTCACTGAGACACAGATAGCTCTTATAACTAGTGTTTTCACCTTAGATCCATACAGCTCTAGAGCCAGTGCTCTTGACCACCCAGCTGTAGGTAGGCACACTTGAACTGTGCTCTTCAGAACAGCCTGAAGTAGTTCTAAGAGTTGCCTCATGGTGGAGCAGTGTCACTCAAGTGTTCTTGTACTTGTGAGAAGTAAACAAGATGAAAATATTTCAAACTGTATATAAAAACACCACACTGTACCCCATGATTGCATTAATGTACACAGCTATCATTTAATTAAAAAAAAAGAAAAGCAAGAAGTCATTTCTTTCATATTGACAGGAATGAAATTGCCTGCTTTCCAAATATGTTGAGCAGTATGATAATCTGTTTTTTCTGCAGTAAAACTTAGGTGATGACTTTTAACCACATAACACGCTCTGCCTCCAGTTACCAGAATACTTTTTAATCCTCTTTAGGTCAGACCTGAAAGGCCTCTGCTACATGGTTTATCACCTGTGTCTCCAAGATGTAGGTGCTTAGGGAAGCACAGAACTCAGTCAGATGGGATCAATCTTGATAGGGAACATTTCAAATAATAAGAAGTCAAAGAATCAGTGAAGAAACTACAGACTATTCCTTTTCCCTCAACACCTTCTTTTGAAAACTTTTAGATGTGTAGAAAAGTTAAAAGACTAGTATGCCCAGAGTCATCAATTGTTAACATTTTGCAGCCCTTCCTTTATCTCATTCTCTCTTCATACGTGTGTGTATAGTGTGTGTATACAGATAACCTCTGACATAGAATGTTTTTACTTTATAGTCATGCAAAAGTGATGCATATTCAATAGACACCATATTTTAAGTGCCTATACAACCATTCTGGTTTTTGCTTTTACTACAGTATTAAATAAATTACACAAGATATTGAATGCTTTATTATAAAATAGGTATTGTGTTAGATGATTTTGCATCATTATCAGCTAAAGTTCATGTCCTGAGCATGTTTAAAGTAGGCTAGGCTAAGCTATGATGGTCAGTAGGTTAGGTATATTAAATGCATTTTGACTTAATGATATTTTCAACTTATAATGGGAATACATGTATTAGGACATAACCTATGATAAGTTGAGGAGCATCTTTAGTTGTTTATAAAGTGAGACAGATACATATTTGTCAAATTGTTTATCTCATAAAACTTTTAATTTTGAGATAATTTTAGATCCATGTAGAGTTGTCAAAGATTCTATGTACCCTTTACCTGGTTTTTCCCAAAGATACCGTCTTGCAAAACAGTATCACGATGAGGATATTGATATTAATGTAGTTCCTGTCCTAACTCCTCCCTAATCGCTGACAATCACTAACATGTTCTCCATTTTTGTCATTTTTTTTTTTTTTAGATAGAGTCTAACTTTATTGTCCTTGGTAGAGAGCTATCGTGTCATAGCTCACAGCAACCTTAAACTCTTGGGCTCAAATGATTTTCTTGCTTTTGCCTTCCAAGTAGCTGGGACTATAGCCACCTGCCACAAAAATAGCTTGGCTATTTTAGAGACGGAGTTTTGCTCTTCCTCAGGCTGGTCTCAAACCTGTGAGCTCAGGCAATCCACCCATTGCAACTTCCCAGAGTGCCAGGATTACAGGCATGAGCCACTGTGCCTGGCTTAATTTTCTCATTTTTAAAATGTCATATAAATGGAATCATACACTATATAACTGTCTTAATCAGTTTAGGTTGCTATAACAAAATACCATAAACTGGTGGCTTAAACAATAGACATTTATTTCTCACAGTTTTAGAGGCTCCCTAAGTCCAAGATCAAGGTGCTGGGCTGATTCAGTTCTTGGTGAGGGCCTTCTTTCTGGCTTACAGAAGACTATCTGTTCATGGTGTCCTCCCGGAACAGAAAGAGAAAGCACTGGTATCTCTTCATCTTCTTGTGAGGTCACTGATCCATTATGAGGGCACATCCTCATGACCTCATCTAACCCCAACAACCTTCCCCAAAGTACCACCATTATAATGGGGATTAGGGCTTTCAATATATGAATGGGGTGGGGGGAAAGTAAATTTCAGTCCACAACAATAACCTTTTGTGACTGATATATTTTTAATTCAGCATAATTCTATGGAGATTCAGCCAAACTATTTTATAATCAATAGTTTGTTTCTTTTTATGGCCAAGTAGAATTCTATCATATGGATGTACTGCAGTTTTGTTTAATCATTTACCTATTGAAGTATATCTGAGTTGTTTCCAATTTTTGTCTATTATAAATAAAGCTGCTATAAGCATTCATGTACTGGGTGTGTGTGTGTAAATCTTCATTTCTCTGGGATGAATGTCTAGGAGT